GGCCCAGGATCCATCCTTGGGCCCCTTCTTTTTAGTCTTTATTTACTTCCCCTTGGCCATATTATTAAAAAACATAAAGTCTCATTTCATTTTTATGCAGATGATTGTCAAATTTATCTACCGCTGAAACACAATGACCTTAACCCCCTCAGGCCTATTTTAGAATGTCTTAAGGATATCAGAGCATGGCTGGCTCTGAATTTTTTAAACTTTAATGAAAAGAAGACTGAAGTCATTATATTTGGGCCGAATGGACCTGGTGTCCCTCCATCTGACTTGGGTCCTCTTACATCGTGTGTCAAATCAATTGTCACCAACCTTGGAGTAAAATTTGACACAGCTCTTAAAATGGACAAACAAGTAAATACAGTGGTGAGAAAAAGCTTTTTTCAGTTGAGGCAGCTCTCTAAAGTAAAACCTTTTATTTCTTTTTGTGACTTGGAGAGAGTTTTGCACGCATTTGTGACCACTCGCCTTGATTATTGTAATGGACTTTATATTGGTATTGATCAGGCTTCACTATCGCGCTTGCAAATGGTCCAGAATGCTGCTGCTCGCCTGTTGACAGGGACACGCAAACATGAGCACATTACCCCTGTTCTTGCCTCCTTACACTGGTTGCCTGTCCATTTTAGAATTCATTTTAAAATTTTATTGCTTGCTTTTAAAGTCTTAAATGGCCTGGCTCCGTCTTACCTGTCAGACCTTTTACACCAATACACTCCACAAAGGTCTCTCAGATCATCTGACCAGTCACTCCTTGCTGTCCCCATGTCGAGACTGAAACACCGAGGGGACCGAGCTTTCGCTGTTGTGGCCCCCAAACTATGGAACAAACTGCCCCTCCATATCAGGCTGGCCCCATCACTTGAAATGTTTAAATCACTTTTAAAAACACACTTTTTTTCAAAGGCCTTCTAGGAGTGTTATCAGAGTCAGTTTGTAGTCAGTTTTTAGTCAGCTGTTGATCATTCTTAATCTTTTTACTTTGTTAATCTTATTCATTGTATATCTTATTGTTTATTCTACTCATGTTGATTTATTTTTATCTTCTTTTTCAATTATATATTTGTTTTGTTTATTGATTTCATTGTATGCTTAAAGTATGGTTTTAACTGCTATCTCTGTTTTATTATTGGAAAGCACTTTGGTCAACTTTGTTGTTTTTAAAAGTGCTATATAAATAAAGTTGGATTGGATTGTTTTCTGTGTCCATTCATCAAACCACAGCACACTTCCTCTGACACACACATGATGTGTGACATGTGCCTGGACGAAACCCTCTCAGAGCTGGAGCACTGTGAGATTTGCTTCGTAATGTAGATTAAGATGATTTCTGCTGTTTGGAGCAGCTCAGCTGTCAGACGTCACCATTTGGAAAATGTTAAACAGGAAGTAAGGTGTGTTAATGAAAACACACGGCCATGATTCATGGAGTATTCAAAGTGATGATCATGTGACACGGGAAAGAACCAGTCAGCTGACAATTACTGCTTCATCCTGTACGTGTAAGTCCTGAAAAAGTACGAGCTACGTTATTTAACTGACAAGGAAACAAACAGGAAAGCAAACATTTTCTGCCTTTGTTGGTTTAAAGTATGAAGATTAATTCAGTTTCAGTCACTGTTACACAGTTTCTGCTTTTCCAGACATCACAAACCTCTAACCTCCCCGACACTAAACTGCAAATGTTTGTAGATGTGGAACGAAACAATGACAAGAAACGTCATGGAGAATATTCTTTCTGTTTTCTAACATTTTAAAGATAAAACAATGAACAGATTACAATAGAAATCAGTTGCTGCCCTTGATACGGTGTTATATGTAGGAGTACGGTGGTTTTTCAGACCACGGCCCATTCAGCATTCTTTGTTTCCTCAGAGGGAAGTAAGCACTAACAACAACACATCAGATAAACGGTGATGAAACCACTGGCACGCCATTAGCACCGGCGTCTTCTAATATCAGCATCAATATTAACCTAGAATTTGAAAACGAGTGCATCCATAATTGTGTTGTAATCAGTACAATGCTCTGATGGTCGCCATCGTTTCCTTATGCCCAGACTACAGCACTGGCTCTCCTCTGAGCCCTCCAGCTCAGCTCCAACCACTTTTAGTCTGATTTTGATAACTGTCTTGGTTTTCTGACCACACAATCATTATTTTGGGCTGCATCAGGCAGCTGTTTCTAAAACGTTGTCAGAAACCAGCTGTACAGTAACTGCCCAGCTGTAGGACACCCGCCGTGTAAGCCGGCAGACGTACAAATTCACTAGAAATGGAACAAAGCCTGCGAGCGCTACATGCTTCTGTCTCCTCACGTCACAAACCAAACACAGTGCCCTAATGCGGCGGCCTGCGCCCGCAGTGAACTTCCACCTTTTCCTCTGACGTGTCGTTGCCGCTTTTAGGGCAAATGGAAAACATGGACAAGGCTTCCATGTCTGAAGAACGAACCATTAACTACTTAAACCCACATTTTTCCTCAAGGCTGGCAGGGCCGACTCCTCCAGCAGCGTAAAGCTTTGCTTGTACAAACACTTGACTAGACTAGTTAGCAGTTTCAAGTTTCATTGATGCATCACGATCTTCACGTAGTTCAAAAGTGTCTGTTAGTGTGAAACGGGACAATAACCTGACAGGCCGCTACAGTATGAGCGTGCAGCGCACTTTGGTTTCACGGGCAGATCCACCTCGCACTCTTCATATCTGGTTTCAAAAAAGCTGAGACGGCGATGGTAAAAACACTCAGATCGATGCTTCAAAACCGGAACGTCACAAATCAAACAGTGACTACATCCACCTTCAGTTTATCAGGCACATCAGAGCTACTGACAGGCGGCATCGTTTAAGCCCAGGTCTGCTGTATGTGTGACATATACGTATATACTGACTGTGTGCCCACACCACTGACACAGAGGCTGTTCAGTCAGTAAAGCTTTAGGACCTCACAGTTTGACAAATCACTCGAGTTTCTTGGTCGGTTTATTTAATTCTTATTTATATTCTATCAGCGGAAATCCACTCAAATATTTGTGTGTTTGCTCAGCTCAAACATGTGGTGTCTTATTGTGTTTCCTTTAATCACGATCTGCTTTTTTAGAGCTCTGGAACTAAAACCTGCTGCTTTTATGTTTGTAAATATGTGAGGTGACAGTAAATCCTCGCAGCCTCTCTCAGGGTCTGAGTGCGGAGGGCTGCTTTCCTGGTGGTGATGTACAGCATACAGTAGGGTTGTGTTTACAGTGAGTGCCTGCAGCCGACTGGACAGATGTGAACCCGTCGATCTGGCCAAGTCAAAGACAGTCCCTCCATTCAGTAAGGGCCCAGGACACAGGGTGATCCATGAGACCCCCTCCGCACGCGCTCCCACACACACACACACACACACACACACACACACACACACACACACACACACAGCTTCATCACTTCAGAGGACGCTGAACACACTCGCATCCATTTCCTGCACATCCAGCTCAACCTACCCATGTTGTTAACCTAACCTTCAGCCAAAATCATCTCCAGTGTGGATTATTTACCTCATGGGGACTTCCTTTACATCCCCAAAGGGCGGAAGGTCCACACAGTGTGGCTGCCTAAACAGATTACTGTGACACACACACACACACACGACTCCTGACTCCAGTTTTGTGAACAGTTGACATATGAAACATGACGTGACCATAGAAAACCTCAGAAATAATTCAACGTCTAATGTCGTTACTTTGTGTCACTACATCCCAGCACAGCTGAGAGCCAAGATTTAAACACCACCCAGTCATCCTTCATGCTAACCTCTGTTCATTATGATTCACTCACCCACGCTCAGTGGACATTATATTTATATTTATGTAAAATGTCATACACGCACGGGAAACGGGAGAGCAGCTAGCCGCTGTGAGTGAGGCTGTGCGGGGAGCGCGCTGATGCCGTTTGACCCGTCCGTCCACCCGCTCACCGTCACGGTGCTCACGGCTCTGTGGACCGCCCGCTGTGACTCTCGTGTAATCCTCCAGCGGACACACAAACGTACCCGCGCGCACGCACATACACGGGCTACTTACGCCCTTGGTTTGGGGAAGCCCATGGACAGCAGCACGTCCAGGCTGGAGCTGCATTTCATCGAGCCCGCTCGGTTCTGCCGGAGCCTCCGAGGGAGGATTTTGCTGTAGAGGTCTTCTTTAGCAGCCATGTTCAACCGGCCTCAGCCCACTGCAGTCTGACTCAGTCCAGCACTTCACCTCCGGCTAGTCCACGAGCTTCAGCTGGGTCCGCATGAGTGAAGAGATCACGGCAACTGCACGGCAGAGAGCGCAGCGCTGCGCGGCCAGGCAGAGCCCGCTACTCCGCCCACTGGAGGAAGCAGCACAGCGCAGCTCACGCACCGACACTGGCGGCTTTACTATAGCGTGAAACAGACACGAGCCGCTGTGAAAGCTGCCTTTATTGTGTGTAAAAATACATTTGGATTATACACAATTACGTGATCGTATGTAGGACAGCAGTGCGTCATGTGTCCACTGCTGCCCATTAAAGCAGAACAGCAGCGGGGCCGTCTGTGCTGGGCGGCACCGACAGGCTCCAGACAGTTTCCTATAAAATGATTGTTTTGCACTGAAAACAACTCGGACACATTTTAATACCAGACACTAACTGTTGGTTCTTTCATCAGTATCACTTTATTTCCCCTCATTATCATGAACACTTGGCAGTATTACAGTCGGACCTGCTGGAGCTCTGGTCACAGACTGTGAGGAACAAACATGGATATGTTAGGGCATGGGAAATTATTTTTATTGCACTTCTGGCACATTTTGAATTCTATGAAACACAAAATTATTAAAATGCATAAATGCCATCTAAGCTTTGTTCTCCACTGTAGTGATTTTAGTCTTTGAAACGACACCGGAGCTCTTTCAGACACGTGCACTGTGCCACGGCCGTGAATTGGCCCCAACTGAGCCGACGTGTGGAGACGTGTGAGGTTAGTGTTGGCCACCGACAGCGCTGGCAGATGGGTTATATGGTGAGATGACACAGAACACACAGCCTGCCTCCTGGAAAGCTCGCCTCATCTCCACCTAGCGGGCCAAACACAGACTGCATCAGAGGGAGAGAGGGCTCCACATACACAACTTCAACAGGCCCCAGCGACACGAGTGACCTAAGATGCTCCTCAGTCTCCCACCAGAGGAGGAGGCTGGGGGCCGGGTGAGAAACATACAGTCACTGTACAAATGACGTGTTACATTTGGGATTTTCCAAAAACCCATAACTAGTTGGGTGTACACACACTGCCATGCAGGGTAACAATCCCCCCAAACCCTGCTGTTCATTGACAACTGATCGAATAAGCTATCACAGAAACCAGACAGTATTATTTGTTGTCATTTTATAATTAGTCCTGTTGCTGTCTGTTTGTATAGGTCTTTCTTGCTGCTGTTACGTCCAAATTTCCCCTTGTGGGACACTTAAAGGATTATTTTATTGTATTCTAGACTGGTCACTGGTCACCATGTGGAATGAAAGGATGGAAATGAAAATCACCCGTCTGCAGACTGAATAAAGAAACTCTGAAAATCACAGTGAAAAAACGATGCTGGAGACGAGTTTGTTTTACTGAAATGCAGCAACTCCGAATGACGCGCAGCAGTTTGTGTGACCTCCGTGTGCTTGTCTGCACGCCTGACCCTGGAGGAGCTCCTCCCACATCTGGGATCTCTGGGTTGTCGTCTTAGGGAAAATACTGGTTTGCTGCCAGTGTCTCAGCCTTCCAGTAGATGAACTGATAAATCTTATGGTGTTTTTCAGAAACACTGACTTCCGACCTTGAGGTCAAGGTCACTGGCAGAAGCCGATATGATCAGAGAGCACAAACATGCTGCGGCTGTGTTACTCAGTGACAGACTCACACTCATGTCTGCAGTTTATTTTGTTAAACACAACGACAGCAGCAGCGCTGCCACGTGTGCACAGAGAGCACCAGTGGTTTGTTTGTTCAATGAAAGGCTTCAGTTACAGTGCAATACAATATTTGAAATGTAAACAAACTAACAGTACAGAAATCTCTGTGTTTGTTTTCTTGTTTGTTTGCTTTGAGCTCAGCTCATTTAGTGTGAGAGCCCTGCTGTAGATGGATAGTTTCTAAATATTTGGAAAAATCATGTAAAACAGTCTTTCTACATGATTTAGTTGGAAACAGAAGAAAAGAGTGGGGAAGGGTTCAGCAAATCAAACCTCACATCCACCCGACACTGAGTCCACTAAGACGATACACATGATCTACTGAGACACATCAGAGACTCGTGGCTCTAACTGCAGCTCATTCTCTGATCTATCGATAAACTGAGGTTTCCTATTTGCCTCCAACCTTTGAGTAAATCTATTTTAAAGGTGCACTTCACCTTAGAGTCAGTATTTTTTGCTCAGGTAAAAAAAAAAAAAAATCCCTCCATAGTTTTGGTGGAGTCGCCTCAGCAGTCACAGAGCTCCACATGTGCAACAAGAACAACATGTAGCTCTGGATTTGTGTTTGTTAGTTAGCGCTCCACTGGAGCCAAAGCCACCAATTTTCTGTGCAGCGAGTTAAATAATCAAGACGATGAAATACCGAGATCAATACAAAGCTCCAGGCCAGAGTTATTATCAGTGGGCACTACCATCACATTTAGTTTTACATTTCTGGGTTAAACTGAGATTCGTTTTGGTTATATTGAGGTTAATAATGTAATAATAATAATGTATATTTTATTGATCCGTGGGGAAATTCCCGTTCACTCAAGCAGTGGGCAGCCATTGGGTGCCGGGGAGCAGTGTGTAGGGACGGTACCTTTGCTCAGGGGTACCTTGTTCAGGGGAATCGAACCCCGACCTTCCGATCATGGGGCCACCACTGAGCTATCCCTGCCTGGTTCAACTGTTTACCGATGTTAGTTTGAGTTTTTGTTATTTACCAGCGAGGCATTTGTCACATGTAAGATTTAAGAGGTTCCTACAGAGACCTCCACACAGCGCACTCTTACCAGCCTCGCCTGGTCCAGGCACAGACCCACCACCGCCCCCCCACTGCCGGGTAACTTCACTGCCGATCCAAACTGCAAGAACCAGCGCAGACTTTAGGAACGCACGGACACAGAAACAGCCTGATGCAGCGCGGTCTTTAAACACCACCCACCTGCCTCGCCAGCTCAACCATCTTGAGATTCCCGGGGCCGAGACAGTCATCGGTGTAAATAGACCTGTGGGATAGAGGGCTAACGTTAGCTCTGAATACAGCGAGTGCAGAATGCATGCCTCAAATCAAAACGTGTCGTTTACCGGCGCAGCTCAAAGTTCTGGTCCATCAGTTGAACCAGGCGGCTCCAGTCCTTGTCCCGGAAAGCCGTCCTGAGGGAGGAAGTCACGTGACACCAAACTTTATATTAAAACGCTGTGAATGCCACAAGCTGGCACGGGTACATTTGTGCTGGCAGCGGTGGAGGAAATAAAGCCTCAACACGTGGCAGCGCCAGACCATGAACTTCCACAGGTAACACACTGAGGAGTGGTCGGATCACCATGGTAACCGCTCTGACCCCTGCATGTTCTGGTTTTCATCTTTGCTTCATGCTGTGAGTATTTGGCTACGAACACAAAGGCAAGAGAAAGATTGTGTCTGTCTGTCTGTGTGTCTGTCTGTCTGTGTGTCTGTCTGTCTGTGTGTCTGTCTGTCTGTGTCCTGCTGACAGAAAATTCTGAGACATTTTACAGTCCAAAGACATGCAACTTGTGGGGATAGGTTAATTGGATAATCCAAATTGCCACTAGGTGTGAATGTGCGAGTGAATGGTTGTCTGTCCCTGTGTGTTGGCCCTGCGACAGACTGGCGACCTGTCCAGGGTGGACCCTGCCTCTCGCCCTATGACAGCTGGGATAGGCTCCAGCGTCCCCCGCGACCCTGAAAAGGAGAAGCGGAAGCGAATGGATGGATGGATGGATTTTACAGAGAAACGCAAAAATAATGTAACAAGTTACTTTCTCCTGGGAGTAATTAAGTAAAATACTGCATTACTTGTAAATGACCTTTAAATTTGGTAAATATTTTTACGTTTGTTTGAAAGGCACTTCGGTTTTATTTTGAAATCCATGCTTTTATTTTGAAACAGGAAACTGGCACAAAACCGTTAAAGGGCTGTTAGTAACGTTTCTTTTAGGATATGGTAAAATAGTGTGCCTTAAAGTGAAAAATATGTACGTTTACTTTGCCAATTAGTACCTGGCTGACAGTGGCACAAGGTTTGTTAATGTTTCCTTTAACGGAATAAGTTACATGCAATCAAAATGTCGTTTAATAGAGTTTATGTTGTTAACCTTGACCTTGACCTTTATGTGTAGTTGTAAGTTAGTGAGGTGATATAATGAATTGAGTGATGTAAATTTGATGTATATGCTATATGTGAGCAGGAGAAATTTGTTTCCTTTGATCTTATGGTATTAATATTGCTGGTTTTGTTTTGCTCCTAGCTCTTACGGTGTCTTCACTGAATGTTTCAATAAAAACATTTCCAATAAAACCTCTGTGAAGCATCAGTATAAGAGACCATCATTCAGCCAGGGATGCTACATTACTTTAGAGAAATGTATTCAGTGTAGCATGTGCAATGACCCCAACACTGATGACCACACAGTGCGTCTTTGACGTGTTGCTAAGCGACAGACCCCGGTGAAATCAGACTGCATAGGATACATTTAGTAACCTGCGACTTTAATGAGTCAGTTAAATTATTTGAATTTGAACAGGGATGCATGAAACAGGAGCTACAGAGTAACAGGCTGTAAACTAACCTGGCCTGATCAGTCAGCTCAGCAAATCTCCTCATGGCTTCAATGACCAGCAGCTCCCCTGCAGGACGACACAAAACACAGAAGCAGTCTAATGCATGGACCGGTGTGCATTTGTGTTTTCTGGCAAACACACTTTCAGTTTAAAACAATCCCATTTACCTTATACTGGGACAGAGAGACTTCCTGGGTGGATCTGTCTGACTGATGAGGTCTCAAATGTTTTATTCTGGTCATTTTTAACATGTTATTGTTCAGACCATGGACACAATTCAACGTCTTTTAAAAGATCCTGTCTGTGAGGTGAGCAGCAGCAGAGCATTTGTAGGAGCAGCTTACACGTGCTGAGAGACTTCTGCTTCGAACATCGAGCGACAGTTTGGAAATGCAGGCCTAAACATAGAGAGCACGGTTTTTAAGGATACAGCTGAGGCTTCATTTCATTTTCGGCACGTTACTGATGCTGTCTGATAAAACAGATCGTTGGGGATGACCCTGTGAGAATCCCCTGCTGTGCCTGCAATTCAACTACAGCCAATTTCTGTACAGTGGAAAGTGGAATCTCTCTGATTGGTCCCTTTAATCCAACTTTGATTGGCACAAACATTAAGCAGCAGATATGTTCGGCTTCTATTGTCTGAGACGAACATATTAGAGATATCACCTCTCAAGTCTGAAACAGTGTTTAGAGCAGTCTGAAGCTGAGTTTCTGCCCTATAGAGATGACCTGGACCTGAGCTTGGAGGGTTTTGGTTCGTTTCAAAGGGTTATTTGTAGAAAACACGGACTTTGTATCAGGATGGTTCCTGCCAGTGAACAGCACATGACACTGATTATAGCAATGGTTTTGAATAGTGGGATTACTCCAAAATAGGAGTGTGGTGGAAATGTCACTAGTTTTGGTCACGTGAACTGGACTCACTCCTGAGTGAAACAGTATTGATACTGATGAAACACTGCAGGTGACTACAGAGCACCAGTATAGCAGGAAACCGCGAGATCATCACCATCGGTAGGATTCATCTGCTGAGCAGCTGTAGCGTCGGCACCATTCGACACCTCCTGCCTTCAAAAGAACAACGTCTGATTTGGAGACATACCACTGAGCCAGCGCTGTCGGATGTTGCTATGGATACGGCCAGAGTCACTGGGGTCGCTCAGGTAGGCCAGCCAGAACGGTGGAAGTTCACTCATGTCCATAGGAATGTAGGCTCCTGATAATGGAAAACACATGAAGACAATTTCAGCATCAAATGACAATAAATCCAAACGATAAGAAAAACTGAGAACTGCAAACGTCCTGCACTAACATCACGCAGTAAGTCTGAGATTATAAAGGTCTCCCGAAACCACGCACATGAGGACACACACACACACACACACACACACACACACACACACACGATGTAACAACAACTTTTATTTTACAGGATATAACGTTTATGGCGCGCTGACAGGGAGGTCAGTACCGAAGCCGTGCTCTTCCATGAGCTCCTTGCTAAAATCCATGTACACTAAGCCTTCATACACCTGCAAGACACAACAGTAACATCTGTCACTTCACAGTTAACACTGACAGGCAGGTCCACACACCGTGGGTCATCAGACTGACCTGTACCACTCGGTCCTGCAGCCCAGCAGTAATGGACAGCTCATCCGTCTCCACATCGAGGATGAAGTTGGCTCTGATTGGTTTGGGAAGATCCTGCAACATTAATAAAAACCAAAACAAACGTGACTCAGGACGACATTCAGTGCAGTTCGGTTTTAGAGAAGAAGACCCAGATCTACACTCAGGAACTCAAATATGCCTTTCTTTGTCCACACGCCACCTTTCCATTGAATTCCATGTGTGCCTGTGCTGGCATTTCTCCTGCGGTGTTGCTATCCGTGTGTGAAGAGTGGGAGAAGAGGGTTGCATTGACAATCCAACACAATGGGCAGCACATTGAACACATTTTATATGTGGTCAGAAACTTGTAAGTAACTCATGAAAGAATAAAGTTACGTTGAAACCAAGCACACCGTTGTTTTTCTTGTGACATTACCAATAAGTGTGATGTGTCACATGACCCTCTTCCTATTGAAAAAAACAAAAGTTGCATCCAAGATGGCCGACTTCTAAATGGCCACCATGGTCACCGCCCATCTTGAGGAGTTTGCCCCTTAACATATACTAATGTGCCACAAACAGGACTTTAATATCACCAACCATTCCCATGTTATTACACTGTATCCATTTAAATGGCCACCCTGTATTTCAGATATGTGTGTAGGTAGACTGGTCACATGTCCTCACATTATCTGTGATGTTGTAGAACTTCATGAGACACTTCAGAGTAGCTGAGACGATGGCACTGTGAGAATCATAAACAAGTAGAATATTACAAAGTGCACAAAATGACCTCTGAGTTATGGTACGCCGTTTCAAAACAAAGCAAAAATACTCACCTGCTTCCAGCAAGGCCCTTCACACAAACACAAATATACGACATCATCATTAGACTGAATTAGATGCAAACAGGCCACAACCGTTTACGTGTTACACTCTGAAGTATCTGAAGGGATCCTTACCACTTGTCGGGGAATGTTGGTGTCGTACTTCAGGGTGAAGTTCTGCTTTGTCAAAGCAATCCTGCAAAGAATGCAGAGCATTGGATGAGCTTTGAAAACCAGCCTGTGTGATCCAAACCTGTAAACAGCTAACAGGGTTCTGGTGGCATTTGAACCTTTCCACATATCTACAACCAGGCACATGTGGGGGGCAGGGCTTGAGTACCCACCCCTTCTAATGTCTCTGCGCGGCCCTGTCTACAACCATAGCACTCTCAGACAATTCAACAGTGAACTCATGCAGTCGTTTACAGTTGTGTCTGTATTACTGAAAGTAAGTGAGTATTTGTACTTTAATAAAACTGGACTTTGTATTTCCATGTTTATTCTTGGACTCAGGCAGCACGGTGGCACGGTGGTTAGCACTGTTGCCTCACAGCAAGAAGGTCCTGAGTTCAATTCCACCATCAGGCCGGGGTCTTTCTGTGTAGAGTTTGCATGTTCTCCCCGTGTTTGCGTGGGTTCCCTCCGGGTACTCCGGCTTCCTCCCACCGTCCAAAGACATGCAGCTTGTGGGGATAGGTTAATTGGATAATCCAAATTGTCACTAGGTGTGAATGAGAGTGCGAATGGTTGTCTGTCCCTGTGTGTTGGCCCTGCGACAGACTGGCGACCTGTCCAGGGTGTACCCTGCCTCTCGCCCTATGACAGCTGGGATGGGCTCCAGCGTCCCCTGCGACCCTGAAAAGGATCAGCGGAAGCGGATGGATGGATGGATTCTTGGACTCCAGGAGTAGCTTGAATTTTATGATCAAACTCAATCAGTTCATGAATGGACCGTTAGCTAATACCAGCATGTCTGCCAACACAAGTGCCGACTGTCTGATGTAGCAAAATGCCGTCACAAACTGACGGCCCGTGTTATAGCAGCACACGCACATTCAGTGAACTCGTTCACAAACGTTTGTAAGGACAGACAGTCTGCACAGACTGAAAACATTCAAATATTTAGACGAATGATTTGACACATTTGCTCAGTTACAGCTAACAGGCTAACCATGCAATCTACAGCCTGTTACACAAGCTCAGTCATATCAGAGACAATACTACATGGCTAACATGATCAACGGCACTTAACAAATGATGAAAATCCAATAAATCCACATAGCAAAGAAGTATAACTAATCTGTCTACATTCAGAGGGTGGTTGGCTAGCACGCCGTGACACAGCTTTGACTGACATTGGTTGCTTTGTCCAAGTCAACCTTCCTGTCCCCATGCTGACATAGGCTGTGGAGACTTTTGTTGTAAATCTCGTCCACGTCACATCCCAGGTTTCGTTGTTGACACCTTGGTGCTAACTGCGGTTCAGCTCAACAGCTGCGAGTTCTCGTCATTAACCTTTCTAGAAGTTACACAAGCAACACTGGCTTTTCAGTCACACAGAGATATAAATACATCCTAACATTGTTTTGAAGGAAAGTAAGGTCCCCTTGAGCATCAGATCTGAGTATTGCCTTCAGATGTACCTTGTAAGTGTTACAACTGTCCACTAGTCTCCACTGTGTAAGCATGTGAGATTTGACATTAGCAGCTTGTTATTAATTACTTTTTCATTTTTTTCATTACATTTTCTCTACAAGCTCTTATGTCAAAGCAGGTAATTCTTCACCTGCTTTCAATAAGAGACAAGGCTTTGTTATGAAGTGTTTTAGCTCTTATGAATCAGCAGACAGGCACAGAGTACATTAGAGATCATCTACACCAGGGGTGTCCAACTCCAGGCCTCGAGGGCCGGTGTCCTGCAGGTTTAGATCTCACCCTGGGTCAACACACCTGAATCACATTACCTCGTTACCAGGCCCTGGAGAACTTCATGACATGTTGAGGAGCTAATTTAGCCATTTAAATCAGCTGTGTTGGTTTGAGGACACATCTAAAACCTACATAACGCTGACCCTCGAGGCCTGGAGTTTGACACCTGTGATCTACACAGACTGATAGCAGCAGGTACCCTCACCCTTGTTTGGAGCAGAACTGGTAAAACTTCTTACATGTCGCCTGTAGCAGTCGAAGACCCCCCAGGTACCTGCAATCAGTAATAAAGACAAAGACTTCCTCACTATGACGCCTCCATCCTGCCTTTGGGCTCAGTCAGCTGGCTGCATACACACCCTTCCTTCCTGCTGATACAGAACAGATCTTGCAGGCTGCCAAACTCTGTGGGGTCGTTGAGTGGATGAGGGACTAAAACCTACAAAGGTCACAATACTTTAGAACAGAGTGGAGATGTTTTAGTTTATAAGAATATGTGGTCATTTGTATTACCAAAGTCTGGGTCTCCAGCAGAGTAACCTCAGCCCAGAAGTTAGCGATGGTCATGGCGATTGTTTTTCCATTGAAGCCATCTGAGGGATTCCCCATTAGTCCCACCCTGGGAGTCGTCAGAGATTTGGGAAGTATTTTATACCAAAGTGTGGCAGTTGCGTGTCCATGCTTTCTTACCTGGCGTATGACCGGCATGTAATAGGTTTAGCAGGGTTGCCTTGCTGCTTGGTGGAGTAGTGGGTGAGCCACTTGGTGTAGTCTGACAGTCCCTGAAATGTTGTGAGAGAAAGTGGTGTTAGACTGAAATTTAACCAGAAAAAGGAAGTAAAGTAACTGTACGCAGAAATGTACTTAAGATAGATTTTACATTAATGTAAAATATAAATGCAATTTTGTTTTACTCTTTTTACCCCAGACAATAATGGTTCCCTTAAAGAGGATCCATCCTGCTCAGTTCTAGCTTCAGGTACTCGAGAGTACACTATATTGACTCGCCCGTCCAAACCAGGTGTTCCAATCACTGTCATAGCTGCATAAAATCACACACCAAGGCAAGCAGGCTGCTTCTACATACAGACCCTTTCCAAAAAATTAGAACATCATGGAAAATTATATTCTGAATGGAATTTCCATAATTCCATTCACAACGTTAAACTCTCATAGACGATTTCAAGTACTTAGTTGTTTATTTGTACATAATTTGGGCTTCCAGCTCATGAAATCCATGAAAACATGATTTCAAAAAAATTGAATACTGTGAAGACATCACCATTCACTTCTCATTTTTTGCAGGAAAAAAAAAATTAGGATCACATCAAATTAATCAAAATGTGGTATTTTCAAAATGATATGTCAATCTTCAATACTTGGTTGGGAATCCCTTCGCCTTAACCACTGCCTCGATGTGGCATTGATGCAATCAGCCTGTGGCATTGCCTGGTAGTTATGGAGGCCCAGATTTCCTTGGTACTTGCTGTCAGCTCTTTGTTTTGAGGTCTGGGTCTTTTCCTCTTCATACCCCATAGATTCTCAAAGGGGTTTAGGTCTGGTGAGTTGGCTGGCCAGTCAAGCACTGTGATGGCATGGCAATCAAACCAGGTTTTGGTGCTTCTGGCGGTATGGGCAGGGGCCAGGTCCTGCTGGAAGATGAAATCTGCATCTCCATACAGATCCTCAGCAGAAGGAATCATAAAGTCATCTAAAACACTCTGGTAGACTTTTGCGGTAACCTTGGATTTAAGAAGGCAGAGTTTACCAACACCTGCACCGGACATTGCACTCCAAATCATGACTGACTGTGGTTATTTGACACTGAACCTCAAACAACTTGGGTTCTGTTCCTCACCCATCTTCCTCCAAACACTTGGACCTTGATTCCTGAATGAAAGGCACACTTTACTTTCATCAGAAAAGAGGACCTTTGACCACTGGCCAACAGTCCAGTCCATCTTCTCCTTGGCCCAGTTGAGTCGCTCAGGCTCAGAAGTGGTTTTGAAGTTTTGATTCCTGCCTCATTCCACTCTTTCTGGGTCTCTACCAGATTCTTGAATCTTCTGTCTGATAATCCGCTGAAAGCCACCGTCATCTCTTCTGCTGGTGCATCTTCTCCTGCCACATTTTGCCCTTCCACTAGACTTTCCATTGATATGCTTGGACACAGCACTCTAAACAGCCAGCCTCCTTAGCTATAAACTTTTGTGGCTTACCCATTCTATGGCGGGTACCATTGATGCTCTTCTGGCCAGTTGTCAAGTGTGCAGTCTTCCCCATATTGAACCTAACTGAGACAATTGGATCAAAGTGAAGCAAATTAATGACACCTGGGAAAACCTGTGCAGGTGCTTTGAGTTAGTACAGTGGTTCCAAACTTTTTTTGCTGGGCCCCCCTTTGTTTGACAAGAAAAATATTCGCCCCCCCTCTCGCAAACATCCTCCAACCACACACGCCCATATTTTGCGCCATTGCGGTTTATTTCACACCTCAAACATTTAGTAAACAATTAAGCAAATACAAGTAATCTGCAAGTAGTAAGAAAATAAACTATCAACTCTTTTACGCTGCGTCCGCACGTACACCGGTGATTTTGAAAACGCAGCTGTTTCGTCCACACGTAAACGGCGTTTCGAATCACCGAAAACAGATTTTTTAAAACTCCTTTTTTGCGTTTACGTGTGGACGAGGAATACAGAGTTTGTCATGTTATTGCTTACATGAGATGAATTGCAGAATGGCAGATAGTCAGATTAAGAGTATTTTGTCTCTATCTGCAGGTTTTACACGCTTACATAAACACGCAGTTACTGTCCCTCTATTTACAAAGGCAGAGGCGTCACGGTGTGATTGTTTTACATGTAGTTGTTTTTTTCCTGTGTAATAATATTCAACATTGCTGTCAATACATTTTTCAAAAAATGTCTGTCTGTGCAAAATGGGTTTAAAAACATAAACAGCTGTGGGATCCTGTTTGTCTGTGATTTGAACAGCCCAGCGCTGCTCCCGACAGGGAAAACCTGCAGGGGAGACCTACCTCAGCACTTGTGCAGGTGAAGCCAAAGGGAAGATTTGCTTCACCATATTTTCTAGTCTTTGGCTTGGAAGGAAATTGGTTTGGAAACATATTCAGCGATGCTTCATCTCCTGCTTTGCGTTTGTGTGGGAGCCCTTGCTAGCAGTGTCCAAGCATTTTGTTTTTCCCCCCCCCTTTTCATGCCGCGCCCCCCCTGCAATGGCTCTGGCAGGCCCCACACTTTGGGAAGGTCTGAGTTAGTAGATGAGTTATGTGTAAAACTCAGTTTAAAACATTCATGCCCTGTAAAATTTGGGCTTATGTCTTTATAGTTTCTAATTTTTCGAAATCATGTTTTCATGGATTTCATGAGCTGGAAGCCCAAATTATGTACAAATAAACAAGTACTTGAAATCGTTTGTGGGCCCTGAATCTATAATCTATGAAAGTTTAATGTTTTGAATGGAATTATGGAAATAAATAAACTTTTCCATGGTATTCTAATTTTTTGGAAAGGGTCTGTACATTTGTGAAAGAATGGGTCGCTCATAGGAGCTCACTGAAGTCCAGTGTGGTACCATGACAGGATATCACCTGTGTAACAAATCCAGCTGTGAAATTTCCTCACTACTAAACATCAATAGACAAGTCTGGGTTTGACGGTTGCCAGGGGCACAGTACTAGTACTGCACTGTGCCAAGTGTAGAGTTTAGCAGAGGTGGGGTTATGGCAGGAACTCCAGGCCTCGAGAGCCGGTGTCCTGCAGGTGTTAGATCTCACCCTGGGCCAACACACCTGGTAGCGG